CCCTCTGCCCTGCGGGGGCAGCTCCCCCGCGCAGAGCTGCAGGCACCGGCCCGGGCAGGGGTTCTGTGCCTGCCGGGAGCAGCTCCTTTCCCCTGGCTTGCCCCAGCCAACAGCGGCATCTCCCACTGTGCCAATTAAACCCAGCCCTGTGTCTGCCTGGGACCGGCAGGTCTTCCCATTCTTCTTTTCCTCTGGTTGTGTTTCTGGGTTTTTTTTGCCTGAGCGTGCCCTGGGGCTTGGAGCAGAGATTCCCAGCTGGGAGTCTGCACAAAGCAGGAGGTCCCTGCGAGGGGGTCTGTGGAGCTGGGACTACCCCGGGGGGAGAGGCTGTGCCTGGCCAGGACCCTGGGGAAGCTGCAGCCAGGCTGGGAAATGAGCAATACACAGATTTTTAAACGTGACCGAGGGCATTTGTGGTGCTGCACTGCCAGGATGTGAAGCAGGAGGAGGGAGAGGGACACAAATGCCCCTGTGAAGAGAGATCAGCTCTGGCTGGGAGGCTTGAAAACGAGGGTACCCTTGTTCTTCAGGGCTTGGCTGTCTTGCCTGTAACTCTCGTGCTCCCCAGGACAGGAGCATTTAAGAAACCCTTCTGCAAAGCTTCACTCTTTTTTTTGTTGCTAAACTGAAACAGGACAAACCCCACAGCCCCAGGGGCTGGTGCAGATGCCTGAGAACCTCCCTGGGCCGCTGACCTCAGGAGGGGGTGTCAGAGAGCTCTTCCCCTCTTCACAGAAGTTATAAGTGAACATGTGGTTAAAGCCAGTGCCATAGGTGTTTCCCCTGGTTCTTTGGGCTGCAGGGCCTGGTTTGGGGAATAACAGCCCCAAAGGGGGCAAATAAAACCCTTGCAGAAGTCCCCAGGAACAGGACTCTCCTGCAGACCCCCTGCCCTGCCGTGTCCTCCTGTCCCCCCCAACCACACACATTTCTGCATGGCCCTTTGGAGGCACATCTTGGGCAGCAAGCTGGCCTGCTTGTGCTGCCTGTCCAGACCTGTGGTGACTCTCTAAGAAATAATTCCTTATCCCAACACATGGTGCTTAATAAACTGTGGCTTCCAAAACCATAATTATGCCCTCATCACAGAAGGGCCGTGCTGCTGCTGCTGCTGGTTTGGGATGAGCACACGAGCTGCTGGCTGGGGCAAGCTCAGGGGTCTGTAAGCTGAGGAATTAAATCTCTTTGGGGGCACTTGTGACAGCCCTTCCTACAAAGCCTGGAGCCAGGGAAGCCAGGGATCAGTCCCTGGTGGGATGCTGCTCTGCCACGTGGATGCTAATGGATCCAGGGCTGCTGGAAGCGGCCGTGAAAGCCAAGTGGAGGAGGTGAAGGCAGCCTGGATTTCAGCCCTGCTGGTGGCTTGCAGAGTCATGAAATTAATGCAGTAACTGAAAGGGGGAAGGCACACGCAGCTTCTGTACTGAGGCAGGTTGTAGAAGGGTTACAAAGGAGGATTTGGCAGCAGTGGGAGCCTGCTTGCCCGGGGAGGAGGTGGGCAAGGAGCTGTGCCCTCCCCCGTGCAGACCAAAGGTGAGTGTTTGAAGTCCCAGGCTTGTTCCCTTGCTCCCTGCTTGCACTGCTGCAGGAGCTGGAGAGCAATATGCTTCTAGGTGGTCTCAGAGAAATCCTGGAGCAGAGGGAATGGGCCCAAAAAGAAGGAAATGTTGACAAAAGTAAGATTTCCATGGCTAATACTACTTTTCCCCTACCCTAAAATCCTGTTTCTGCAAGTGTCCAACACACCTGACCTGCCAACCCCAGCAATGGCTGTGCCACTGGGAGCAGACCAGGCAAAACCCCCTTAGCTGGGGTTTATGAACACCTTGATTTTGCTCAGGGCCAACTGGCTGTGCAAAAGCCTCTTTAAGGCAATATCCCACCTTTTGAGCTCTCCCTAGAAGCCTTACCCTGCTTTACCACAGTAGTTTATTCCTGTGTTCACTATAGGCAATAAACTTCTGCCAGTCGATCCCTGCTGAGGGTGCAGCCTTAAAAGAAAGCCTGGGGCCTGGAGGAGTGGGTAGTTTCAGGCTCTGCAGCCCCTTTTCCTTGGCTGGAGGGAGGGCAGCCAGCAGGAGCTTGGAACTCTGACGCCAACACGCTGCAAAGCACTGGAGTGTTTCCCAGAGCAAACCTTCCTGCAGGGCAGTGACCAGCTCCAGCCCTCGCCCCAGCCTGCACAGGAATGATTGAGTGTTAAGGCAGCAGTTGGATTTGTTCACTCAGGATCAGGGCAGGATCAAGCAATAGACTTTTATGGGAGAAAATGGTCCAGTTCCCTGGTTGGAACAGTTTGTGTGGCTGCTCAGCGGGCGCCAGGGTCTGGCTGGGTCCTCTCCCACCAGCCTGGGCAGAAGCAGGAAAGTACAGGCAGGTTTCATCTTGGTGCCTCATCCCTGTCTGAAGGGCTGCTGAGGAGGCCATGCTGCAGGGGACGGGCAGGATCCCATGTCCCAGGGGAGCTGGGCAGGGCACACAGGGCTGCTCCTCACGGGGAAACCTGTTGGTGTGGCAGGAGCTCGCCCTTTTCTCAAGAGCTGTGACCTGCTTTCCTTCTTCCTGATGCTGCAGGGAGTTTTTGCCCACACCAGTGCCTGCTCTATTGGACGTGTGCCTGTCTTTGTTCCCAGCAGGGA